GAGATCACTCCGACAGAGATCAGCCAGCCTCAGAACTCACACACACTCTCAACCATTCGGCCCACACAAATCATCAACATAGAGAAACACAAGTACATCACCCATTGGACAAACACCATCAAAAACCAGCACAAATTAGAATGTTATTCGGCACTAAATCGAGAGTACACCACGGCAAACTACCGGAACACAGTGACTGATGTGAAGCTCAGGAAAACATTGACGATGTATAGACTCAGCGAGCACAGTCTGTCTGTAGAGACGTGCCGGCGCAGACAAACCTGGCTCTCCCGTGAGGAGAGACTCTGCTCCCACTGCAGTCTGGGAGAGATAGAGACAGAGCTGCACTTCCTCACAGAATGCCTCAAATACCAAACTATTAGAGACTACTATTTACCCCAAATTAATCAAATATTTCCCCAATTTATAATTTGTAGCCCAACCGAAAAACTTTTTCATTCTCGGCGAAAAAGCCAAATGTGCAAATATTGCTGCAAAATTCGTAGCATCGTGCCGTGACCTGAGGGACAAACACACTCCAGAAACAAACAGCCAGTAGACACACTCTCACAGGCCAAAACTGAAATACTGTTACACATGTACATAATGTTTCATTTCTCAGTCCTGCAGTTGCTACAGGAAAATCGTTATTATTATTATTATTTATTTTTATTTTATTTATTTATTTTATTATTATTATTTTCTCTTTCCTATATGTATCTATAAATGACATTTCCATATTAGTTATATATTACATATTAGTTATAATATATAAATAAATGTTCAGATGTTCTAATGTAAATGTTCAGATGTTAAACCATTCTTTTTGTTGTCTTAATGCTTTGGCAATACAAATTTTTTTTTGTCATGCCAATAAAGCTATTTGAATTGAATTTAATTTAATTGAGAGAGAGAGAGAGGTTGCGTGTACACGCGTCTGTGCGTCTCTCTTTACAATGAGTGAGTTTACTTCAAAAACAGCAATTTTATCCTCTCGTTGCTGGAAAATATAATGTACCGATTCGATATTTAAACTGTTATTAATAAAAGTCATGGGGCAGCGTTGACGAGTTTCTTTGCTCCTGGATGTGTGAGCTGGACGATCTCCGATATATGTGTGTGTGTGTCAGTAAGCAACAGATTAATATAGAACGGTAATTAAAGGCTCTAATGCACACCAGCACAGGTGTGTGTATTGTAGGAGCTAGATGACGTAGGATGACGTGTAACGGTATAGTAGTGGTGTCCCAATTCTTAGGGAAATATTTTCACCCCTACCCCTTGACACTCTGTTTTAAGGGACAAGGGGAAGGGGTATAAAACAGAATTGGGATCGGGCATGTTATCATCCTGAAAAAGGATAAAGTAGCTACCCACAAGTCCATGGAAAAGCGTGTTATTCCCAAAAATGTGTCTTACTTCATCTGCCATGGTTTTAGACTGCAGTAGTTCTTCTTCTTCTTCGGTTGTGGCTAGAATATATACGTATGAGAAGGGATACAGCTCCGGCCGGAAGTGACGCAAGTCTTGCAAACTCTCGCACGAATTACAAAAAACAATTCGTGGACAAATAGCGGCCGGTTATTTTCAACGATTTCCCTCAAAGGAGTGTTTTGAATGTAATTTCAGGAGTTTCGAGGAAGACACAATGACAAAGTTCATCGTTTTGACAAAAGACAAGGCTTTTGGTGTGGACGGTAAGTTTTCGTAGCTCTAAAATGACAAGATTTAAATTAGTCAGGTTTTAATTGGTGTATTTGCAAATGAGCGTTCTTACTTACAGGGTTCCCACGCTTCTTGAAAGTACTTGAATTTCAGACATATGGATTCAATGCCTGGAAAGTACTTGAAAACAAACATAGGTCCTTGAAAGTGCTTGAATTATATTTGAAATAAATGTAGTTTATGGCGCTATTTCAAAAATTGTCCTATATGTTCTGTCAAAGACAAAACGAAATGGCACTAATGATTGGGGGTGGAGATGGAGTAGCGTCTTGTCTTGTATTGTCTTTAGCTTGATGACCACTCGGATCATTGTTATAAATGTTAATATAGTATATAATGCTGTGCATGTGTGGGTGTAATGAATGCATCGTTATGTTAGATATGTGAAGAAAAAAGTCAGAGTATTAAAAAGATAAGGAGAGTGAGGGAGAAAGCAATGCGTCAGTGTGAAGGGGAAAATCAAAATGGGTCTAAGTGCCTATAAGTAAGAAAATTAGTTGGTATTGTATGTTTTTTCAGATACCTGAAGACATTCATAAACAGAGGAAGCAGAGAGCGCTGGCCGTCTGAGACATGCCTTAGCAACAAACTCATCCGCAGGGAAGTTTGAGGAGCAATATGTTGCATGCTTCCCAGGGATCGAGGAGCACAGAAACCATCCTGTGGTAGGAGAGGTCAGTCGCAATTTTTTTTGAGAGGTCAGCAATCAGGGCTCTAGACTCATTCTTCCCTCTGGTTGCTCTTTTGCGACTAACTTTCTTAGTTGGTCGCACGAGCACATAATTTGGTCGCAATTTTTATTTTTCAATTTTTTGCCACAACATGGGATTAATCAATGCATGATGATGAACTTTTATCATAGTTTATAGTTATATGGTAACGAAAGTGTTCAACTTTCAACCTGTTCTTTTTCATCAGTAGTATTATTTGTGATTTAAATTTTGTTCCTCGTTTGCTGTGTTATAACCCGAGCTTCGTGCGCTTTCACTTTCAAATTCTCGATCTTGGTGTCACGTTTTACAAGAAACGTTTTTTTTTTATAAATCTATACCGTTCACTTTTTAAGACTAAAAGAAAAGATGGATTCATTGTTACTCTTAATTAAAAAGCACAACAATAAATCTGTAGGTTACAATGACAAACTAGCTTACATAACCTTTATTAACAAAAACTAATAGGATCAGGCATGACATACACCACGTGCTGTATTAATAAATTACAGAATGTTTAGGAAACACTGAGGAATCAAATAAATAAAAAATAATAAGAAGAAAGAAAGAAAGCCTCCATAGCTTAACGAGGTAAACAGCAAAGATAAAAGACTTTTCAAAATGAAAACAAAAAGAAAAGTAAAACCAAACTGGCTGTTGCTGACAGGTTTTAAATGTTTTTTTCCACAAGAATGCCAACATGTTCACCTTCTCTCTCCGTCCGCTGGGCGCACCTTCGTGCTCGTGCTGACACGCGAGTATAAACCAGGCTCTACACCTGAAGCGTTCGCGCTGAAAGTGCCTCTCTTCACGTGATCAGTGAAGTCTGACTCCTGCCCGGCCTTTATAGAAAATCTCAGGCATATTCCGACCCGAGTACGTTTTTTTTTCCCTTCTCCCAAAACAGCTTATAGGCTATTACTGTTTTAGAAATTAAAATAGTTCAGTTTTGTATGTAATGGCAAAGTTATTATTTTTCATTTCATTTTTAATAAGTTAATTTAGAAAAACCTTTGGAGCATTTTTTGTGCGTTAAACGTCTTGCTGCCCTGAGCCGAGAGCTTGAAGGATCCACTGTTGCACACTTCCTGAGAATCCAGACTCATCACTCAGAGAGCCACATTCCTCAAGTATCCGAGACTGAGCACCTCTCTGACAAACCTAAGGGAAAACTCAAGTGGATGGGGCCTGGACACTGCATTGTTCCATCAAGAGAAGAGGACTGGTTCTCCAGCAAAAACTCCACCATCAAACATCCGAAAAAGAGCATTAGAGCAGCAGTCCAGTCCTCGCATTGTCGCAAAGCAACGACAAACAAAAAAGGAAGACACCCCTATCCAAGGAGAAGACAAAGATGGCCCTTCCCAACCACCAGCTAGAGCAAAGAAAAAATATGCTGAAAGATGGTGCTGAAAGCTCGACTTCATTTAAGAAAAAGAAAACCACCTAAGGATTTCAAAGATTATGTAGTATAATGTAAAGTGTAGTAATAAATCAGTTAAAGAGTTTCATTTTTTTTTTCTCCAAAAGTTTTTTTTTTTTCAAGTTTCAAGATTTGCTGGGATGGTATGATGGACACCATTTACTTTTAGACAATAAGTCACTTTATTTGAGCTATTGCACCTTAAACTTTTTTGTTTACTTTTTGAAAGGTGTGGATTAAAGTTAGGGTAAGTGATTTCTGGTAGCCAATGTTGATATTTCAAATCATCAAAAACATGCCCCTATCCTAAAAGGGTCTCGCCCCTATTTTGATTGCTCTGCCCCACACATACGTACACAATCCAGGCAACGATTAGTTCTGTGAAACAAAGCAAAACCAATGTTACACCATGTCTACACCGGACGCAAGCGGCGTGACAAAGTACTATAGAACTCATTATAATCAGTGATGCTGTCTACACAGGATGCGGCGCGGCACGACAAATCCCAGACAGAAAACTGCTGCTACGTTCTATTTATGACGTATTGACACAAATTTCATATGATTTTCAACGGACTTTAGCTGTTGCGGCGCAGACACGGTGTTACTCACCTATCGAGAAGAAACAAAGCAACCTCGGCGTCCGATCACAGGCCTTCCACTCCTTGAGTTCTCTCCAGCGCTGGAAAGCTGATCCGATATTTACACGGGTCCTACTTCTTGCCTTAAGCCTTCTCTTGTTCCTCAAAGTTTTCCTCTTTTGTTTTTTATCCGCCATCTCTATCTTTCTGTCGCTCGGCTAATGTCTGTCCTGTGCACTGAACGCTCTCTCCTCCACATCATGAGTAGACACGCCCCTTACTGCTGATTGGCTACAAGTTTGTTTACTCGGTCCCGAATCAGTTTTCTATAGTGTTTTTGAAAAATCACTTACCCCACCTTTAAACCCTTAGTTTCCACTGTTACTTTTCCGGTATTTTTTGTGCAGCGTCTCTACTTCCTCCGCAAACTGAGAAGAGCCAGAGCCCCGGCCCCCATCATGTGCACCTTCTACAGAGGCACCATCGAGAGCATCCTGACCAGCTGCATCACTGTGTGGTATGGCGCCTGCAACGCGTCCTGCCGCAAGACACTTCAACGCATTGGTTAGTTGAAGCCCTTAAGGTAACCAATAAATGTGCTGCTAAAGAACATAAATATAAGTTCATGTAATTTCTCACAACAGATAGTGGAGAGAGAGAGAGATCACTTATTATACTGTGAGTTAATATAGGCTATACATTACATTCTTTATTTAAAGGTAAACAACAATATTTGTAAGAATAAAGTAGAACAGAGTTGCACAATATGTATACTTACAATAACTTGTGCTTTTAAATGAGGCTCTTTCTCCAGCCCAACCTGGAAGATTTAGACAACAGAATGTGTATTTATATCCTGAAAACACCTGCCTTCTGAAGATCATGTGGTTTACAAGAAAACATACATTTCATTGTTGATAATTGATTTGGGCTACAGCCCAAAAAATATTTGGCATATATCTTCTCAATTATTTGACAAATACAAATTATTTTTGTCTTTTTTTATAATCAGTGTCTCAAGATGATACATGCCAAAGTTTGTGTGAATCAAATGGTCTCTGCAAGAAACTCAAAACAGCAGATAGACCCAGTAAATACAGAATACAAAATTGCAAAATCCTAGAGGTTTTATTATTATTATTATTATTATTTGAATTGGGAATATGAATTTGAATTGTTGTTAATTATTAATTAGATCTTTTAGATAATTGCTGTAAAAATTTGAACACACCCAGTTTCTTATGATCACGTGATTTACAGGAAGCTAATTTTTTTCAGCAGAACAAAATGAAAAGAAAAAAGAAAACGCTTTGCTGCAAGCTAAATGAAGAGGAATAAATATTCCAGGTAGTAAAAAATAGATAGCATTTTATTATTTATATTGAGAAAAACTTGAACAACACTCCTGTAATTAACAAAAAACAAACTGAATGTTCACAAC